TTCCACCAAACAGAAGCCAAGTATACTTTCTTTTCCAATGCACATGGAACATTCTCCAGAATAGACCGCATATTAGGCCATAAAGCAAGCCTTAACAGAATCCAAAACATTGAAATATTACAAAGCATCTTTTCTGACCATAAAGCCATAAAAGTGGAAATCAAGAACAGAAAAAGCAAGGAAGAAAATCAAATACATGGAAACTGAACAACACCTTACTCAAAAAGTACTGGGTTATAGAAGAAATTAAGGATGGAATAAAGAAATTCACAGGATCAAATAAGAATGAAAACACACCCTACCAGAACCTTTGGGACACAGCAAAAGCCGTGCTTGGAGGTCAATTTACAGCAATAAATGCACATATCCAAAAAGAAGAAAGGGAAAAAATCAAAACATTAATCCTACAACTTGAAGAAATACAGAATAGCAAAAGAAGCTCTTGGGCACCAGAAGAAAGGAAGTAATAAAAATTAGAGCAGAATTAAATAAGAGAATAGAAACACAATTAAAAGTTACCAAGACCAAAAGCTGGTTCTTTGAAAAGATCAACAAAATCAATAAACCACTGGCCAAACTGACAAAAAAAAAACACAAGAGGAAGCAAATAACCCTAATAAGAAATGAGATGGGCGATATCACAACAGACTCAACTGAAATTAAAAGAAGAATAACAGAATATTATGAAAAATTGTACTCCAACAAATTTGAAAACCTAAAGGAAATGGACAAATTTCTAGAAACATACTACCTACCTAAAAAACACAAACAAAGGTGGAACAACTGAATAAACCTATAACAAAAGAAGAGGTTGAAAAGGTAATTAAAAAACTCCCACCAAAAAAAAGCCCTGGTCCTGACGGCTTCACTGGAGAATTCTACCAAACTTTCAGAGAAGAGTTCATGCCACTACTACTAAACGTATTTCAGAGCATAGAAAAGGATGGAATACTCTCAAACTTATTCTTTGAAGTCAGCATAACCCTGATACCAAAACAGGTAAAGACACCACAAAAACAGAAAATCACAGACCAATAACCCTCATGAGCATAGATGTAAAAATCTTCAACAAAATTCTAGCCAACAGAATTCAAAAATATATCAAAAAAGTAATTCACCATGATCAAGTGGGATTTATACCAGGTATGGAGGGATGGTTCAACATTAGAAAAACAATCAATGTAATCCATCACATAAAACAAAAGACAAGAACCACATGATCTTATCAATTGATGCAGAAAAGGCATTTGACAAAGTCCAACACCCATTCATGATAAAAACTCTCAGCAAAATAGGAATAGAAGGCAAATTCCTCAACATAATTAATATTAAGGGTGTTTATATAAAACCAACAGCCAACATCATCCTAAATGGAGAGTCTGAAAGCATTCCCCTTGAGAACGGGAACCAGACGAGGATGCCCTTTATCACCACTCTTATTCAACATTGTGCTGGAGGACCTAGTCAGAGCAATTAGGCTAGAAAAAGAAATAAAGGGCATCCAAATTGGTAAGGAAGAGGTAAAAGTACCTCCCTATTTGCAGATGATATGATCTTATACACGGAAAACCCCAAAGAATCCACAAGAAAACTACTGCAACTAATAGAAGATTTTGGCAAAGTATCAGGATACAAGATAAACATACAAAAATTGGTTGGATTCCTCTACACCAACAAAGAGAAATTTGAAGAGGAAAACACCAAATCAATACCATTTAGAATAGCCCCCAAGAAGATAAAATACTTAGGAATAAATCTAACCAGAGACGTAAAAGACCTATACAAAGAAAACTGTAAGACGCTACTGCAAGAAACCAAAAGAGACCTACATAAGTGGAAAAACATACCTTGCTCATGGATAGGAAGACTCAACATTGTGAAAATGTCAATTCCACCAAAAGCTATCAAAAAATATAATGCAATCCTGATCAAAATTCCAACGACATTTTTTAATGAGATGGAGAAACAAATCACCAACTTCATATGGAAAGGGAAGAGGACCCAGATAAGTAAAGCATTACTGATGAAGAACAAAGTGGGAGGCCTCACACTACCTGATTTTAGAACATATTATACCGCCACAGTAGTTAAAACATTGTGGTACTGGTACAACAATAGATACATAGACTGATGGAACAGAATTGAGAATCGCGATGTAAACTCGTCCACCTATGAGCAGCTGATATTTGACAAAGGCCAAAACTTTGTTAATTGGGGAATAGACAGTCTCTTTAACAAATGGTGCTAGCATAACTGGATATCCATCTGCAAAAAACTGAAACAAGACCCATACCTCACACCACGCACAAAAACTAACTCAAAATGGATCAAAAACCTAAATATAAAATCGAAAACGATAAAGATCATGGAAAAAAATTGGGACAATGCTAGGAGCCCTAATACTTGGCATAAACAGAATACAAAACATTACTAACAATGCACAAACACCAGAAGGGACAGTAGATAACTGGGAGCTCCTAAAAATCAAACACTTATGCTCCTCAAAAGACTTCACCAAAAGAGTAAAAAGCTGGGAAGAAATTTTTGCCTATGGCATACGTGATCAGGGTCTAATCTCTAAAATCTACAAGGTATTGCAAAACTTCAACTACAAAAAGACAAATAACCCAATTAAAAAATGGGCAAAGAACATGAGCAGACACTTCACCAAAGAAGACATTCAGGCAGCTAACAGATATATGAGGAAATGCTCATGATTATTAGCCATTAGAGAAATGCAAATCAAAACTACAATGAGATACCATCTTACCCCAGCAAGGCTAGCATTCATCCAAAAAACACAAAATAATAAATGTTGGAGAGGCTGTGGAGAGACTGGAACACTTACACACTCTTGGTGGGAATGTAAAATGGTACAAGCACTTTGGAAATCGATTTAGTGATTCCTTAAAAAGCTCTAAATAGAAGTAACATATGATGCAGCAATCCCACTCCTTGGAATGTATCCTAGAGAAATAACAGCTGTCACATGAATAGACACATGCACACCCATGTTCACTGCAGCACTGTTCACAATAGCAAAAAGATGGAAACAACCTAGGCACCCATCAATGGAGGAATAGACAAATTATGGTATATTCACACATGGAATACTACGCAACGATAATGAACAATGATGAATCAGTGAAACATCTCATAACATGGATGAATCTGGAAAGCATTATGCTGAGTAAAATTAGTCAGTCACAAAAGGACAAATATTGTATAAGACCACTATTGTAAGAACTCAAGAAAAGGTTTAAACACAGAAGAAACCATTCTTTGATGGTTACGAGGGTGGGGAGGGAGGGAGAGGGGAATTCAATAACTAGAGAGTAGACAAGAATTATCTTAGGTGAAGGGAAGGACAACACACAGTACAGGGGAAGTCAGCACAACTGGACTAAACCAAAAGCTAAGAAGTTTCCTGAACACAACCAAATACTTCGAGGTACGAAGTAGTAGGAGCAGGGGTCTGGGGACTATGGTTTCAGGGGACATCTAAGCCAACTGGCATAAAGTTTATTAAGAAAGTGTTCTGCATTCCACTTTTGTGAGTGGCGTCCGGAGTCTTAAAAGCTAGCTAGTGAGCTGCCATCTAAGATGTATCAATTGGTCCCAGCCCACCTGGAGCAAAGGAGAATGAAGAACATCAAAGACACAAGGAAAATATTAGTCCAAGAGACAAAACGGCCACATAAACCTGAGACTCCATCAGCCTGGGACCAGAAGAACTGGATGGTGCTCAGCTACCACCAATGACTGGCCTGACAGGGTACACAAAAGAGAATCCCTGATGGAACAGGAGAAAAGTGGGGTGTAGAACTTAAATTCTAGTAAAAAGACCAGATTTAATAGTCTGACTGAGATTGGAGGAACCCCAGAAGACATGGTCCCTGGACTCTCTGTTAACCCAGAACTAAAACCATTCCAGAAGCCAACTCTTCAGACAAAGATTAGATTGGATTATAAGACATAAAATGATACTCGTGAAGAGTGTGCTTCTTAGTTCAAGTCTATAGACGAGACTAAATTGGCAGCTCCTGTCCGGAGGAGAGATGAGAAGGCAGAAAGGGATAGTAGCTGGTTGAATGGACATGGGAAACCTGGGGTGGAAAGGGGGAGCATGCTGTCACATTATAGGGATTGCAACTAGGGTCACATAACAATGTGTGTATAAATTTTTGTATGAGAAACTAACTTGAGCCGTAAACTTTCACTTAAAGCACAAAAATAAATAAATAAATAAAGGGGGGTGGGCGTTGGCCACAAGTTGGATTTGGCATGCATGCAGGCAAGAGTTGCCAGTCGCTAACTTGGACATTCTCCCCTAAGTTTCTTTTCAATCCAGCAATCAGTGATCCAAAAGTCAGATCATAACAGTCTACTCTGAGAATCTTCAGTGGTCCCCCCTCTCACTCAAAGTCTTTGAAATGGGTTTCAGGCCCTTTGTACTTGCTGTTGTCTCTGCCATAAATGGTCTTCTTGCAGTTCATTCCCTCATCTCCTTCATGTCTGCTCCAATGTCATCTTCTCAGTGAAATCTTCCCTGACACCCTGCTTAAAACTGCATCCCTCCCCCAACCCTTCCTCTTTACTTCTATCCAAAGCACTTACCACTTCCTAATATACTATATGATTTACTTATTAATTTTATTTATTGTCTGTCCATACCCACCAGAATGTCAGCTCCTTGAGTGCAGGTTTGGTCTGGTTTGTTCGTCACACTATTCCTGTCACCTGGAACAGTGCCTAGTATGTAGTTGGTGTTCAATAAATACTTGTTGAATTAAATTAGACATGATTTCTAATATGGACAAGTATCTTCTGGTAAAGCCAGCAAGTAATGCTTGTTTAACATGAAGTAGCACACTGCTAGTTTCCTGGTGGCTTCAAGCTTTGAGCGCCTCCTAAACATTTAACATGATCAATTACAGTATTTACAATGTGGATGGGTAAGCTTGAGTTATTTAACAAAAATTAATAAAATCAAATCTCACCTTTAAATCGTACTTCCTATATACAGATAAACGGTGGCTGAACACATTTCTTGTAACAATCACATATATTTCAACTCCATCAACATTTAGCCGGTACATGCCCAAGAACTGGGGAAGAAGAGTGATCCCATGACATTCCACTATATACTGCATAGGAGAGAAAGAAAAAGGAAAAAAAAAATGATCCAATCAAATGATGCTCATTTAGATGTAAAACACAACTCTTCAGCTTATGATGCTTACACAAAGGAAAACCCCAACTTCCAAAAGTTCCTATTTGTGCTGCTTACAGATTGGATCTGTGTTCACTATGTATATACATAAACCAAAAAAAACCCAAACCCGTTGCCAATGAGTTGATTCCAACCCATAGCAACCCTATAAGAGAGTAGAACTGCTCCATAGGGTTTCCAAGGAGCGCCTGGTGGATTCAAACTGCTGACCTTTGGTGAGCAGTAGTAGCTCTCAACCATGACGGCACCAGGGTTTAGAAAATTCAACTTTACCTCCAAAAAGATACTTTTTTTCTAACCTTCCAAACTAATTTGTAGAGTCAAAACTTGGTTATAAAAGATAATAGGAGATTGTGAGGCAAGAGGACAGCAATTGGTCCTTTCTATAATCCTTTTAAAGTAGAATTACTCTCTTCCTAAGGCTTTCATCTTTCACCCCAGAAGCCTTGATAATGATTTTATGAGGTCAAGTCAAAGTGAGCCACTGGGCCCCTGAGATCAGCTTATTTAACAGTGTTAAGGTCGAGATTAAGGGGACCCTGTAGAGACAAAGCAGTGTCAGAAGCTAGCAGGGCTGGGCTCTGGCCCTGGTTTTTCTGTTTCTCATTGATGAGTTAAGCTGAGATTTTACTGTCTAGAGCTAACTTGTTCATGAGAGCAAAGGCATGAAGCATGGACACCTTGCTACCACAGGGCACTTATGCTTCCTCTGTAGACAGACGGGGACTCTCTGGCCCTGTGGTGGATTTCATCAAGTCCATTGGCCAAGCATCAGGGATGACACCATTTCAAATTACAGTTGCAAAAACACAACATGAGTTTAGAAGTCTTTAATGATCATACTCTCAAAGTCCACAAGATGGAGATGCTTCTCCTTGAAAGCAGATCTTTGTAATACAGGACTCGCACTGTACTTTCCAAAGAAAAAGTTACGTTCTCCTTTCTTTAAAATGAGGGGAAAGATTTCAAAAAGCTCTTTTATATTCATGACATAATGGTGTGTGAAATCTCTAGAATAGTGCACAGTATGAACAGTATGATCTCAATATGTAAATTATACACACTGTGCATTTTATAGAGAGATGCTTGGAGGAATATTCACCAAATGGTCATGGTGGAATTTTGGGTGATTTTTCTTTCTTCCTTCTCTCCTCCCCTCATACTGCTTTCATTTTTCATTCTTACAGTTAGTATTTTATTAAAAAAAAAAAAGTAAAATACCCTTTCAAACTTTTTATGGGAAATACTGTTAATAATCAACTCTGGTAATACTTAACCATTTTAAAGAGCTAAAATGCCTTTAGTTTTTATCATTAAAAAAAACAATAAACAGCATCAGTGTATGAGTTTGATTTCTGTTTGCAAAGTTTTGGCGAATTTTAAAGATGCTTCTTCCCTTTTTTCCTTACTGACAATAATACTTAATTCAGCTACATAATTTTAATTTGACATATTTTCTGAAAAAAGTTTTACCTCAACTGTTCTTAATCTGAAATCGGATGAATGTAATATTTTACATTTATCTTCTCTCAAAAAATAATAAATTAGCTTGAGTTTTCCTAAAGTAAAACAAGGGGTAAATAGCCATTGGTTGAATAGAACAAAGTTTCTCACATGTGATCTACAGAAATAAGAAGGATTTTTGTCCCCTTTCTCTGATGAAAGATAAGTTAACTCGGTCTTAAAACATGAAGACTGCATAAAAAGTCTACGTGGTGTAAGCATAGTAGAAAGAATGTAGGTCTGGGAGCCAGAAAGATGTGTGCATGAATCCTGGCACCTCCATTTACTATCTGTGAGATCTTTAAAAAGTTACCTAATCACTCTGTATTTTAGTTTCATTTTCTGGAAATTGAGCACTATAATTCCTACCTTGAAGGTTGTTGTAAGGATTACAGGTAATAGCATGTCAAGATACTTTATACAATGCCTGGCTACTGCATTATACTTCTCCTCTTACTATTGATGATAATCATAATTATTATTTTTATTCCAAACTCTGTTAAGAAATTTTAATGTTAAACCTGTCTGGTTAGTGCTCCAAACAACTTACAAACACTGAGATGTTCTCTGAGCTAGACTCTGTGGTAGGTGTTTTAGAGGAACACAGGACATGACCCCTGTCCTAGGGGCACACACTACAATTTTATTTCTGCTACTCAACCCCTCTTTGTGCAGTTCTGCTCAGATTATTTCTATTATGGCCTATCTTTAAAAAGTTCTGTTGGTAGAGAATGTTCTTTGATCAAAATCTCTATACTTACTGCCTCTATGAACAACTGCCTTTGCCATGAGACCAGAACTGGATGGTGCCCAGCTACTATTACTGAACATTTTGAGCAAAGATTCTATAGAAGAATCCTGATCAAAAGAGGGAAAATGCAGAATAGAATTTCAAATTTTCATGGAACCCAGGCTTCCTGGAGCTACTGAGGCTGGATGAAGCTCTGAAACTATTGCCCGGAGAAAAATCTTCAAACTTTAAACCGAAAATATCCCCTGAAGTCTTCTTAAAACCAAACAATAGTTTAGCTTAACTAGTAAAGAATGTCTGTTTTGAACACTGTGCTCTTTTAAGAACTACCTGTATGGGATTAAGCTGACAACAGCAACTCGAATGATCAGACAGGAAACTTAGCAGCAGTGAGTTTATGTTAAAGGAGAAGGAACAATTCGGAAAAGGAGGTGAGAACGGTTGCACAACTTGAAGAACGTAATCAATGTCACTGAATTGTACATGTAGAAACTGTTGAATTGGTGTATGTTCTGCTGTGTACATTCTCAACAAGCAACAAGAAAACATAAAATAAATTATTTAAAAAAATCTCTATGCAGAGCTATACTGTGCACTATGCCACACAGCAAATACTAGCCATTATTCATGTTGATCAAGATGTTAAAGAATACTTTTGAATATTATACAGTAGACCATTTATAAGTCTTTTTACAGGGATAGACATCCATTTTTAAAAAAATTGATTGTACTCTAGACGAAGGTTTACAGAACAGTTTCTCATTAAACAGTCAGTACACATATTGTTTTATGACATTTGTTAACAACCCTATGACATGTCAACACTCTCCCTTCTCGACCTTGAGGACCTTTTTTTGGTGAAAATATACATAGCCAAAGTTACACCATTTCGAAAGTTTCTACATGTACAATTCAGTGACATTGATTACATTCTTCCAGTTGTGCTGCTATTCTCACTATCCTTTTCCAAATTATTCCATCACCATTATCAACTCACTATCCTCTAGACTTCCCATCAAACCTTTTGAGTTGCTGTTGTCAATCTGATCTCACATAGATAATTCTTTTTTTTTTTGTACCTCAGATGAAGGTTTGTAGAACAAATAGTTTCATTAAACAGTTGGTACACATATTTCCCTATGACAATGGTTAGCAACCCCATGAGATGTAAACACTGCCCCTTCTCAACCTTGAGTTCCCTATCACCAGCTTTCCTGTCCCCTCCTGCCTTCGACAGACATCCATATTGATTACATTCTACAACGCTTCTACCTTTAAGATTAGATAAATGAATACACATAAAAAAAGGTCAACTTTGATCTACTTCATCTGCACATTTATACATGTGCTGGTTCACCTATGGGGCTCTTTGATAAACACCTTGAAAAATATAGAAAATGTAGATTTAATAAACTTAAAACTACAAAATACATAAATACATGTGAAATCACAAACCATATTAGAGCATACCCCGTTAGATTCCAGTATTGCTAAGCAGCAGTTGGTACCAAAGGCTTAGAAAACATTTGTGGGTCAAAATGTTGCAGAAGAGAAAATTCTACTTATTAACTCAATTTCTGGGTGGCATCATTAAGGAAAAAACACACTGTTGCATTTTAGTAGAGGAACACTTAACTGGACTGATGAACTCCAGGGTTGGGGACCACTGTACTCCAGCATGATGTGGGGATGAATGCAGGTGTTGACACAAATAGACCTGAATGTAAATTCTCTCAGATTCTCCAACAGTTGATGCAGGAAATGCTGTGCACAAACTCTAATACCCAGTGGACACAGCTACAAGTACCCCCCCACCGCAAACTGCTACAGGAAATCACACAGCCAAGTAGACTCTAAGTCCACCGTCTCCAGCTTTAACTGGGTTCTCAGCACTACTCAGCCACATTGTGCTGTTAGGAGCCCTCTCAGTTCCCGCTCCACGTTCACTAGCTGTGTGACCTTGGGCAAGGCATTCAACCTCCCTGTGTCTGTATTCGGAAAATAAAAAACCAAATCAGTTGCCATGGAGTTGATTCTCACTAATGGAGACCTAATGTGTGTCACAGTAGAACTGTCCTCCACTGGGTTTTCAATGGCCGATTTTTTAGAAGTAGATTGCCAGGCCTTTCTTTCAGGTGCCTCTGGGTAGACTTGAACCTCCAATCTTTTAGTCAGCAGTGAGCACATTAACTGTTTGTACCACCTAGAGACTATTTGGAAAATACGGGAAAGTAACAGTACTTAGTGCATAGGGTTTTTGTGAAGATTAAAGCAGTTAATATTTACAAAGTTCTTAGAACAGAGCCTGATATGTAAAAAGCACTAAAGAAGTATTATCTATAATTCAAACCTTTTCCATTTCCCTCAAATCTCAAAACCCCCTCATCACTCTCAACATTCATTTACAGTTTCACTAAACAAATACTTATTAAAACACCATTATGTGCTCCTCACTGTGATCAGTACTGACTATATGGTAAGGAACACAGAGACTTGGTTCTTGTCTCTATGAAAACTTATCCTACTTCAGAGGGAAAAACAGAAGCTTTCTGTTGCCAAATCTCCTAGCATCTGTACCATTCCCCCCTCTCTACTCTGGTGTGAGGGGAGAGGGTGGCGCTCCTTCCAAGGCCAATTTCTCCTTCACCCTCTGTCGAGTC